GTCTCTTTCCCCCCCCACCATGGAAAAAAGGGAAGTTTTCAATTGGGTTTTGTTCTTACCCTTCCGAATACATTGGAAAGTATGCTGCCAGTTGAAAAACAATAATACCCATCCCATTCTCTAAGACAGAATAATTTATTTGTAACGTATATTTGAAATCCTGTTGAAGGAAGTTAGAACAATAGCTGCATTAGGTAAGATTTGGATGCCAAATTTTTACTTAGGAAGTACTCATGAATCTACAAGCTGTGATCCAGCATGACTATATTGTGCAGATATCACAGCTTCTAACAATATCTTTGAAAACACATTTTACAGTAAATCAATCATATAATGTCAGCCATTGTCATTTATTTTAGACTTCATGAGTCCTATAGTCAAGGGGATATGAAAGAAGTAATTTGTTTTTACTCAAGCAAAAGGGAAATATTTAAGCTTGGTTTCATTTGCTGTTACATGAACTTGTTATTCAATGATTTAATACACAGCAAGTGTTTCAGTCACTGCAGCAGTTCTAAGCTGTAGGACCTGAGAATGCTCCTTTCTCAGTACCAAACTCATGGCTTTTGCAGAATTGTTTCACAGCACCGACATGAAAATGTCACCCATGAAGTTAAGTCAAGTAGCACATTTAAAAAAGGATTAAAGCCTAAGAACTCTCTAACTTATCTTTTGATTACTTTCTTTTTTTAAAGTGTCATCCTCACACCCTTAATGAGTCAATCTCAGCCCACCAAGTGTCACACATCTGTTGTACAAAAGCAATATAACCAGCTATTCCCTACCCTGCACAGACCAAGTGCTGCACAGCTGGGCTGTTCAAATTCTTTCATCGGGATCAGTGTCGCGCTGAACATCAGAGTCCCCTGTTTCTTCAGTGAGGTCTTTGGCAGTGCTTGATTTCTTTCTACTTCAACTTTTCCTTTTTATGACTCACACAAAGGATAAATACTTTTAAAATTACTGTGTATCAGTTGACAGGAAAGGTGGCTCATTTCTCCATATTTGATCTGTAGACGTTGATGGCCCTAGGGTTATCTGAGAATGTAAGCAGTGCACTAAAACTGGCTTTAAGTGCTGCTCAAATGAAAAAAGCAACGTAAATGAACATGGGTAATGTCTTCTAAGAGCTACAGCCACTCTCTTATTTGAGGCATTAAATCAGATGTATGGAAAGTATTATGTAAACTGATAGCACCAAGGTGCCTCTCTTCTTGCTCTACTGGGGCACCCTAAGGATAGCCCCAGCAGCATCTCCACATTCACCATTCTAACAGATGACCATACTGAACATAAAGTTGCCTTTAGATTTCTATACTTTCCCACTTTTTGCTTTTGGTGCAGACAGTTTCATGCTGTGATGAGCATGCAGGGTAGCTCCCAGGACCCTTGGGGAGTGCCTCTCCCTCTCTGACTTGCCCCCCTCTGCCCCTAGGAAGGCTAAAGTGACCCTGGGTGACAGCCTGGCTCTGGTGCAGGCAGGGCAAGGCTGCTGGAGCCAGGACATCACCCACTACCTCAACAGCAAATCTTGAAGGAACTTGTGTGCCCGTGAACAAAGTTGTAGAGTTTTAGAATTATCAAAGAAAATTGGTCAATATAACCGATCGACCCTGGAAGCTTTAGTTTCCCTCTGTAATTTCTTTTTCAGTACTGGTTTACAGCCAGCTGAATATGAGCCAGCAGTGTGCCCAGGTGGCCAAGAAGGCCAATGGCATCCTGGCTTTTATCAGGAACAGTGTGACCAGCAGGAGTAGGGAAGTGATCGTGCCCCTGTACTCGGTGCTGGTGAGGCCACACCTTGAATACTGTGTTCAGTTTTGGGCCCCTCACTACAAGAAAGATGT